CTCCCCTCCCCAGTCCCCACCCAGCCTTTACAGAATAAATCATAGGCAAAATACAACAACAACAGCAGCAACGAAAATAAACTCCACAAAGACCAGCAACAAGAATAACATTGAAGTGCACCCCCCTCTCCTCAACACAAAGTCTGTAAAAGAGAACCACATTCCGTAAGCAAATACTCTATTTTACAAATGGAGTAGCCAACACCATCACAAAATTGGCCCTCCCACTCATGTACCTCAACTTTCAAACTCCCCTGAGTGCAACAGATGCCCTTCGAATCGATTCTAAATTCTGGTCCAGAAAATTCACGTCTGAAATTCAACTTCGAACGCATTCCAACAGACCCTTGGTAACATTTATAAGGCCAAGGGTGTGACAAGCCAATCAAAGTTTAAGAGAGCCATAAAAAGTCGGACACACTGTCTGTACGATAATGTACACGGAACAAAAACATAAAGTTTATCTTTTATTACCTCCATTCTGAAGCTTTAAGAAGCCTATCCATTCACATTATTTTCCACGACATTTAGAGAGCCAAGTAAACCTGTTCACTAGTGGCCTATAACCAAGACAGTCGCAATAAATAATATGAAAATGTTTAGGTGGTGAACAACAGGCCTTAAGTTGCTTTCACATCAGGACTGAATATAACATTATGTTGTTTGAGGTTGGAAGGAAGTCATAAGAAAATAAAGTGTTTTGAAAAAAACCTTATAAAAAAACCCTCTACAAGTTATATACTTTAATCGTGGGTAAGTCCAAATAACATACGAGTTGAAGCCGTTCTTATATTAATTTCTTATTGTAGACTTTAAGAAGACCCTTCGGTGAAAAACAAAATGAGATATCGTTCTTTTTATTGATAGCCGTAGCCGAACGTATTTTTGAGTTACAGCATTTCCTGTTACTGCATGTAGTTGACAGATAAATAATTTAAGGTACTGGCACACGGGACTTTGTATATCTTGTTAAAAATGTTCCCAGATGGCTCATAACAACAGGAAAAGGCGGTATTCTAAGTCTGTATTTTTTGTCACAAAGGCACCACCAGCGAAAGCACAGTTTTAGAAAAAGCAGAAGGTCTACATTCAAAAAGTTACTGGCGATGACACACCCCCATCTCTTAAAATACTCCACGATAAAGAAGTAGGAGTTACCTTGAAATACAAAACAGAGACAGCACGAATACAAAACTATGCACCCTACATGTCATCATCGGTCAGACTATAGAAAAATTGGACATTGGGACATACTGTACAATGCCATCAGGTCAAAAAGTATGTTCCGATACTTCCAAAATATTACATGAGTGAGGATGGAAAGACATCATTTTTTTAGGCGACATAGAGTTCAATGGCACGGAGATGATTAGGGGAATGAAAAAAAAAGAATGTAAAAAGCCAAAAATAAAATTCGCACACACACACACATAAAACTAAATTCGTTGCTCCAGACATGAAGCATCATGTAGTAAAAGCGTAATATTATTGTATGATAATGTAAAACATCGGAGGAGGTAGGAGGAAACAGCAGAAAGTTCAACAAAACTACACAGAATTGAAATGAAACGTACAAAAGGCCTGTATGTGAAAGCAAAAGAGCTGGATACAAAACAATGAGAAAGAGCCACACAATGAAAGATTTATACTCAGAGATTAACGTCATCAATACAGGAGCACACAGATATCTCAACATGCAGGGCTACAGAAATTCTTTTATTTAAAAAGACGAAGGTCTATGCTTAATCTCGCTTCGTGTGTTTGCCCAATTTTGTCGAGCTTTGAAAAGAATAAATTATGAAGAAATGTTATTGCAAAAACAAACAAGGAACGAAGAACAAGAACAACGAAACAACAAAAACAGCTACAAGAACAGCAAGAACAGCAATTACAACAACAACAGCAACAACAAAATAACAACAACAACAACAACAACAACAACAACAACAACAACAACAACAACAACAACAAAATATCCAAGGGAGGCGGTGGCCCTGGCAAAGAGCACGCTCTTCGATTCACCAAACATTTCGAACGGATAGGCTACCACACACACACAACAACAAATAACAACAACAACAACAACAACAACAACAACAAAACTCCGCCCCTCCAACAACAAGGACTCAATATTCTAACTAGTATCATAATAATTTTTGTATCAGCTTGGCTTTTGACGTTGTTGTGGATACTTGGCCACTTTTCACCACAAGTATCGAGATTTTCTCGGGGCGCGGGGTTCCCGATGGAGGAGAACGGGGATCTCGCGCTGTGGCTACTCACGCGAAGTTTATATAAATGTGAGGCAGCGTGGTGGAATCAGGCTCTCGTCAAAATAATCAAAGTGAAGAAACTTGCATTTTTCCGCTGGTTTGTGAATTTGTATCAACTTTTTGTTTTTTGGCTCAACACCTTTCATGCCCATTAAAGAACTCATTTCCGTGTGGATTTTTCTTTAAAATGTTGATTAAAGTTACAAAAAATGTAACTTTGCAGATACCACGGACTCTTAAGCTAAGGAAATAAC